ATTTGATTCCCAACAATAATTTAAGCAGTGCACAAAACAATTAGGCTGATAAAAAAAGTAGCCTAATAAGAAGACAAAAAAAAGTAATTTATTATTGTTGCTCAAATATTGTTTACATTACTTTGGGCTCTGACCGCATACAATATTCGACAGAAAAGGTCAAGGCGACAGCTGTGGTCGAAAGAAATCAAACACGGGTATCGATGAGTGAACAACGAAACCCGGAGCCCACTCTCACGCAAAGGTTTTCTCCCTAACTTTCTATAATTCCTTCATTTTTAATATACCTAATACCGTAAACAAAATATCTGCTGTAAGGACTTTCTTCGCTGTAACTTTTGCTCCGTGTCTCAAACTGCGATCAAAACATTAAACCTCTTTTAATCTGATTCATTTCATGCGGCTCTTTATAAAAGCTTTATATAAACTGCAGCGTTGGCTAATCTTGCCATCTACAGGCAAATAGGTGCAACATCTTAAAAGTGCTTTAAGGTTATCATTAATTGATTAACGAACCAGAGAAAACCAGTGGCCCGAATATGTATTTAAAACAAACAAACAAACAAACAAACAGAAATACACGGAACCTGAAGAGCCAAGTTAGATTTTATTTATCTGAGTGCAAGAAGTCTCGTTTTAAAGTAATAGACACGTTTAGCTTTATTTGTTTGATTAAATTTGCATGCCTAACAACTGATTGTTTTATCAATTGGTATTTATTTATTTTCTATTTTTCTTGTAATTGTCTTACCATTTGGTCAGTGCCATTTAGATGCAAGCTGGTCATTAGTTGGTTGACCAGCTTTTTCCAAAACACAGGATATCTATCTATCTATCTAAACTGCAGCGTTGGCTAATCTTGCCATCTACAGGCAAATAGGTGCAACATCTTAAAAGTGCTTTAAGGTTATCATCAATTGATTAACGAACCAGAGAAAACCAGTGGCCCGAATATGTATTTAAAACAAACAAACAAACAAACAAACAAACAAACAAACAGAAATACACGGAACCTGAAGAGCCAAGTTAGATTTTATTTATCTGAATGCAAGAAGTCTCGTTTTAAAGTAATAGACACGTTTAGCTTTATTTGTTTGATTAAATTTGCATGCCTAACAACTGATTGTTTTATCAATTGGTATTTATTTATTTTCTATTTTTCTTGTAATTGTCTTACCATTTGGTCAGTGCCATTTAGATGCAAGCTGGTCATTAGTTGGTTGACCAGCTTTTTCCAAAACACAGGATATCTATCTATCTATCTATCTATCTGTCTATCTATCTATCTATCTATCTATCTATCTATCTATCTATGTTCACAAGCTCGAAATTGGCTAGGCTACCCCTGTTCCAAAACACTGATATAGCTATAAATAGCATAACCTGGATTAATTTGTAATAATATATTATTTTCTAAGAAAATGCTACAAAATATTTTAACCACAACAACAACAATAATTAATAATAATAATGACAATTATTTTGTAACAAAAAATATGGTAACACTATTTTAAGGTGTCTTTGTTACACGTCACATGTACTTATTATAATAACAATAAATCATACATGTGCATGCAAGTAACCCTAATCCTAACCTTGACCATATAGTAAGTACATGTAGTTAATTAATATTACTCAGTACTTAAGCCTAAATGTATAATTACACTGTAACAAGAACACCTTCAAAAAAGTGTAGCCTCCTAACCAAAAATATATGTAAAAAGATATGCTGGAAGTAAATATTATTTTGATAAACTGATGGTCAATGCCAGGTCATTTTTCTTGTGTAGTGACAAATGATGAGAAATTGCATTTCACTGCACCAAGAGAAAGTGCGGTGAACTCCAGTGAGAGCGATTGTACGAGGTTGCGTCAGCACGTTGCGTAAACAAAGCGTGAAGGCATATTACGTCTCAAACAGAAAGTGTTCTTCTGGTCGCAACCCGCAGGTATAAACCCCTTTTCGTTTGGAAACGCCAGCGACCTTGAAATACTTTGGAATCGGGTAATTATTTTGAGCCGTGGGATTGCTTTAATTTATACTGAAGTTGCTTATAAAATTAATTTGTGTATTAAACGTATTTTTTTGTGCGTTTTGCGCTGGTGTCTATAGTAGACCTAGGCTAGGCTCAACTAAAGACGATTAAAGAGTAAACTATAACTAACCTATAAATTCTTTTCACTTCTTTCCTAAGTACAAAATATATTGCTTTTAAATGTATTTTTATTATTAATAGCGGAGCAGATGAGATATGTTGTTCTGTAGTCTATAGGCATTCGCCTGAATACAACTAGAAAGTGAAAGTAAGCCGGATAGTACCGACCTGCATAGTCTACTGCGTTTTCCCTTTACATACTCCTGAATAAAATCCAGTACACTTCACCATGTCCCTGCAACATTCTCTCGAGCGACACAGTAGAAAGCTCCTGCACCTATACAAAGATGAAACAAACTCAAATGTGGACGTATATTTTTGTGATATTCTTAACTCTGCAGAGTCAGTGCTCCGCTTGCAGATGGCTCGGCCGATATGGGACAGTGAGCGCCGATTCTCTGAAACTGCTTAGGGAAATGGTAAGTAGCCTACACTTTTAAAGCTTCATGATTTTTTTTTTTTTGTAAATGTTCATCAGAAGACATTAGACTGCTGAGCAATACAACCACAGCCATTTTCTGCGAGGTCCTTATTAAGACACTCGAGTAGATAGGCTATTTAGGCTATGCAACAGATTTATTGTTTTTGTAATGTCTAGTTGTGAATTCAACCTTACAGAATGATTCACGACTATTTGGAATATAGCAATAAACGTGTTTTACTTATTGAGGGATGTTGTCACGTTTAGTCTGATTCTTTCAGCGTTAAAAAAAAAAACTGAAAAAGTGTCCATCATTATGTTACAACATCATTGCTTCTATCCATTATTTTCCCATTCATTGTCAGAGTTTTCTTCATTAGTAATTCATTCAACGTGGTTGATTGACAAAGTGCAGTGAACTAATCAATGGTATCAATCAATTTTATTAAAATTATTTAAGTCAATTAAAGTTTTCATTTTTTGTACATTGATGTTATTAACTTTTTTTTTTTTAAGTCTTAAGAAGTTTTTGTGCAGATGAATGAACAGCTAAATATGCAGCATAAGGAACATATTACAAATTACTCTGTTTTATAGGGTGGACCATATCCTGAGAATATCAAGGTGCATTTTCCGGGGCCCCTGTACAACTTGATAGACAAAGCTGAGGTTTGTAAACTTTTCTCTGTGAACAAACATTTCATTCCACGAATAAAACATATGCTATCAAAATAAACAGGGAAAATTAGATCAGAATTTCATTATGTGAAAATCTTATAACTTGTATACATCACAACAGTCTTTGTGTGGGACCAGTTACCTAAACATAGCATTATATCTCCTTACAGGTGGAGGACCAGGTGAAGTTTCTTGTCTTGACCGTAGATCATATCATCAGTCTCACGGATGCCTCAGAGCACATGAATTCAGTGCAGTGGAACCCAAAGACAGTGGAATATTTCCTAAAAGACCTGCACAGGCAGTCATCTGAGCTTAAAGAATGCGTAAGTCTTGTCTGAAAGTATTTGTGCTTAGGAGAAACTGATATCAGAATTCCATTCTATGAATTACATATAATCCTATATTATCATCAAAGGGATTGTCTTAATAGTAATAGACCATGAATTTAGATTGAATGATTCCACTCAATCGTTTAACCTCAAAACTGTTATGACATTAATCATTATTAATCATTAACTTAATTGAATAAATGTGTTCTATGAAATGTAAAAATTATGTTTTGTTATTTTGACATTCATGTTATTTTCTCATTGTTTATATTTTGTTTACATTTGATCAGGTGGCCCAATACCAAAAGCCGTCGCAAAAGGAGTCTTACGAGATAAGGATAAAAAGGCACTTCAGGACTTTAAAGAAGATTTTAAAGAAAGAAGTAAGTTTGATTGCATAAAATGATATCACATCTTGTTACATTGTTTTTATTGGTTGTGTTTTTATACCCTTAAATGTGTTGACTGATTTCTGTAATCAGCTTTATTTTCCTTAGTGCCTTAAGAGGCTTATTGTATTTGCACATTTGAGTAAAAGGAATTATTTTCTTGCATATAAAATGCAAAGTCAGTGATACATAGCTAAAGATGTTCCTTTTGTGTTTTAAGAAATATAGTGCTCACGCATGGGGGCAGATCTGGAGAGCTGTGAGAACCCACCTTCAGAGGATGGACATCATCGCAGAGAACGCTAAAAAAAAGTTTCTGCTAAGAGTTTAAGAGACAATGACAGAAAAAGTCCTAATGACAGAAAAAATGTCTGACTTGTGACACATTCCATAGAACAAAAAAAAAAGCTACAAAAACTGCCTTACAAACAAAAACTGAAAAAAAAAATAATGTTATAAATGTATTTGTGTATTCGCATGTTTGTATTTATTTGCAATGAATGTAGCCTAGTCGCTTTATATTGACCAATGGGTAGTGCTTTAATACAGAGTTTACCTTACGTGTTTCCTATGAA